CTATTCCAGTCAGTGAGGCAGGGTATCAGCTTTCCCGTCCCTGAGCATGGCCAATGTTGGGTTTCACACACTGGGAGAAGGCAGGGGAAGCCTTTTTAATCACACAGGCTCAGAGTGTACACATGTGACTCTGGTCAGCAGCAAGCTGGCACTGTAGCAAAAAGGGCACTAACCCCACTCCCCACCACCCCATCCCAATACTCCACATTGTTCCAAAGTTCACCCTCACGGCCTCCAGGCACTGATAGGAAAACAGGAAATTAGGAGTGGGGAAGAAGGTTAGGACCGACATCTAAAATCTCTCATCTCCATTTTCAAGTCCAGCACCAAAGCGAGGATTGGAGTGTCCCTGCCAATGCCGACTCTGTATTTTTTCACTGGATTTCAATCTACCCCAGCTTGGTGTACAAACTAAACATATACCATGTCAGACCTAGCCACCCTCGGAGCACAGGTAAACTACTGAAAACTGAGGGTCATCTGCCAAAATCATTCAAAATCTTTAGGAGAAGAGAAGGAATGACTAACCATGGACATTTATTAATAAACATGTTATGTAATATTCCCACACACTTTTCTAAGCAAAGTGGAGCTTGAATAAGTAACTACAGATAAAGCAGTCATTTTTTTTCTATTGTCCCAAAGGACAGCATCAAAAAAGAGGTTTAATGAGGTGCTTTGCTTCTTACAGACAAATAACAAATATACAAATATACATAGTTTTTCTGTTTTGTTTCTTCCTCCTCACTAATACATACTCAACTGTTATTTATTGTTTTCACAGTTAGAAAAAAAATATTTAGGGCTTTTAACTAAAACAAAATGTGATAGACGAAAGCAGGTAGCTTTCCAAACTGTAAAAAGACATGTGAGTATTTATGAAAGCTCATGCGGCCTTGGAGACACTATACTAAGTGAACTAAGACAGATACAGAAACACAGCACTGCATGAGTCCATATAAACAAAATATCTATGACAGCCAAAATGATGCAGTCAAATTGTACAATGGTGGTTTCTGGCACAGAAATAAGTGAGAGACTGGGCATTCTCTATCAGTGGATATACTATTTTATAATATATTAATTAAGCAAGAAGAATAAACTCTAGAGATCTGCTACACAACATTGTACAATAATTTACTAAAACGCTTACAAAGAGGGGGAGGGTAGACCTAATTTTAAGTGATGTTACTAAATTTTAAAAAGATATTTAAATAAAGATAGTGTCTGAATGGTTTTAAAGCAATCACTACTGGATTGGATTTTAGGCCCTGACTCATTTCTTATTAATAATATTAGCAAGAAGAATGTTATTATCATGAACAAAAGGACAAGTCACAAATCAGGGCATTCAGATAGTTAAGAAGTACACAAAAAGAAGGCCAACCTATTATCACTCAGGAAACGAACACTGAGATCATGAGATTTCATTCACAGACAATAAATAGATAGAATGAAAAAAGGTGAAAGAGAATCAACATGAATTAGCATATTAAGCAATGGGGACACAGTTGCCAGAAATGAAAGTGGAGCCAGCATCTTGAAAAAATTGTTAACTTTTAGAAAGTTAAACATACATTTGCCCTATGAACTAGAAGCTTCATTGTTTGCAATGAATGGATGATAAAACACATGTTGACAGAAATACTTGCACAAAAATATTTAAAATGGAATTATTAAAAACAACCAAAAGCTAGAAATAACTCAAAAAGTCCATCAGGTAAATGAATAAAATAACTGTGGTATATCCACACAATAGAATATTACTGGACAGTGAAAAAGGATTAAGGATACATAAATCAATGTCAAACACATTATGTTAAACAACAGAAACAAGAAACAAAAAGTATGCATACTGTGTCATTTATTTTGCATGAAATGCACAGAAAATAAGATTAGAGGGATGCACATCAGAAAGTTGTTGCAGCAGCATAAGAAATTGTCTGGAAGTGAATACAAGTGATTTTCTGCAATTAGGGAAGCGTTCTTTCTCTAGTTTGGAATGGGAGCTAAGAAGGGGTATTTAAGTCTGAAAAAATTCCCTCACAATAAACACCCACAAGGCACACACTTGATTGCATGTTACTCCATGTTTTTTTCATTGTCTGACTTCTGAAAAGGGAAATGGATCTAACTTAAAGAAGTTCACACTGGCCAAAGATAGAGTGATTCCAACACTAAAACAAAGTAACCCCTGCAATGGGCTGAAACTCATCTATTATGCGTAAACCAAGAATTTGGGTCTGTAAAAATATTAGTTAACTTTGATGCATTTAGGCCACTGATTGATTATGTGCAAAGTGAGTAATGAAATATAAGCCCATCTCATCTCCTTTTCAAACTCTACTACACATTTCTAGAGCCTATTCTTGGATTGTTGGCTTCAGAATAAGTAGGTGCTACATTTGTACTAACTGGTAACAGTCACCTGCAGTACCTCCCTGTCTTCACGAGGCTTCTCAGTGGCAACTAAGCCAGGTGAATACTCCATGCTTGGGAAGACTCTCCCAGCACAGGCCTCAGACACCTTCCCTTCAGTCTCCTCTGCCTGGCCCTCAGCCCCAGTGCTGTGTGGGGTGCTCTTCCTGTAACCAACAGCCCTTGGCCATCCCACACTCACAGTGGGTTCCATCTCTTATGACCTGCTACATTTCCAATTTCCCTTTCCTGCTGGGACTGAGAAGGAGTACAGGCAGCTAGCAGGTGAGGCCAGAGTCTGAAACACATCTTGGTCCCACTCAGGTTCTTCCAGGTCTTAGCTCCAAGAGGGACAGGCCTAACCGTGAATGTCCAGTGGCATCCACAGGCAGAGTGGGGAAAGGCACAGTATCACCTGCCTTGTCCTTCTTCAGCCTAAGTATAGGAAAAAACAGTCTTACTAATGACTCCCTAGACTCTCCCCCTATCAGCCTATCTGGGGGCTCCTATCTGTACCAGTCTTCTTCCTTCCATTCCACATGCATAAATATTTCATTTTGTCCTTACATGGAGTTAACTCTTTAAAAATGCATGCCTTGGTGCATAACTACATAGCTTTCTACTGCATATATGGATGCTAAATAAGTCAGACTAGGCAAGGAACAGTCCTGAAACTATACACTGCCTCTTTAACATACACACAAGTATCTTTCTGCTTTTATTGTGAAGGACTTCTGTTAAAAATATGATTAAGAGGAATTATGTTTGGTCACTTGTATCCAATTAGTTTAAGTGGTTAGGGTTTGGATATAATGAGATGTATTTTAAAGATTTAATTCCCACTTGAAGCAGTCAGATTCACACATCTCCCTATTAAAGACTCTACCCTTATCCAGGCCTGCTATGCACCAAGGCATCAGAATATGGATCATTGCAAACACATCATTAGAAGAAGAAAATCAATGCAAAGTGCACTGTTTTATTGAACATCTTCATATATGGACAAACGGTTGTTAGATAAATTGCCTTAATCTTCTTGGAAGACTTCTATACAATTACTTATAAATATGTTGAGAAATATAAACATAATCATTCTGAAATTGGTAATGGCAATGATAATGGTGCTTTCCCTCAGTGTGGTAATCTATTTTCCATGCAAATGTGAATAGAAGTGTTTCCTGTTATCTCCCCCATTACTGTCTGGTCCAATCCAATAAAAATAATGAATATAAAAGTCTATTTTTACACAAACATTTCAGATTATTCTTATGATCAAGCAGTAGGAAAATACTGGGTTAATATCCTTTTACAGTTCTGGCTATCATTATATTGACAATCTACACCTACCATCAGGGAACAAGGCCTCAGCACTCCACTGTTCACTAGCAATCAGGAGAGAGATGGGGAATAAATAACATCCAACGCACAATCTGCGCTTCTTGAACATTATGTACCTGCCTGAGCAGACCAGCACATTTTACAATACTTTTAAAGATTTTTTTTATGCATTGTCCATATCAGGTCTTAGAGAATATTGTCATGTGAATTTACAAAGTTACGAAACAAAGAAGCAAAAAGTGTTAAGAATTTAAATTGTATCAAAGGCTGTCGCCCTTACAGTATTTTTTGATAAAGTGTCTGGCACCCAGACATCTGCATCAGCACATCTGATGGCAAGGGAAACATGCCGTTCTCCTCCTAAGCAGTCAGCTGCTTTCAGAAGTCAGCTCTCATAAGAGAGATTTGAAGGTAAGCATTCCAATGCCATAAAGAAAAAAAAAAATATCATTTCAAAATACGTATATTTAATACACGCCTAGGGTATGCTACGTCATAATATTTTTATTCTGCTTTTTGCTGCAAGTAGATGACTTCTCAAACTATCAGCCTTTCAATATATTTAATAACACATGACAGATTTTGAACAACATTTCATAGCTGGTCTACTTATATGTGCACCATAAATTCTTAGATTTCCCAAGGAGCTGGACTACGCACATGTTTGCAATGTGCTAGATTTAAAATCTGTTTCCATTAAACATTCTCTCAGCTAAAAATAGCACACCATGCAGATCAATGATAGCAGACAGTACAGTCAGTAAATCAAGAAATAAACTACGTTATCTTTAAATACATACATGAGCATAATTCAGAAGCTATTAAGTTAGAGTAACTTATTCTCTGCCCTGTCCCACATCAACATAAAATCTCACATTATCTATAATAGAATATATTTCTTTTATATGAGATCGGCTTGTATTCATTTAAGGGGATTGAATAAAACTAGAATTACTAGATGAAGTTTTATTTTAGCCAGCGTTCAAAATCCTCACACATATTGATAGTTGATAATGCTATTTAATGAGGCTTTGAGGTAGTAGGGTTTTGTAAAAAAAAGAATGGATGGGCCTAACAGATTCCATTTAAAGAAATAGTACAACACAGTTAAACAACTCCCTCTCACTGAGATATTTCTGTAAAAGACACTGAGAGAAATTACTATTGCCCATTTACTCAGTAGAAAATAAAACAAAGATAAGCAGAAGTTAGTAGTGTAAGGGCGCTGCTAAAAGAAAGCATACCTTTCTCTCTCTTCTTCAGTGATATCATATAAGCGGTTGGCACCTCCATCAGCACAGGCCCTTAAAAGAGCTTGAAATAAAACAAATAAAAACTATTTCAATATAGAGAATAAGGAGCAGCATCTTTCAAATAATGAACACTAAATAGCAAAGACTCAGAAAAACACATGCACTCCCTCTAACCTACCTGGATCATTTCACATTTATCTGTGACACTGCTGGAACCAAATTCACGTCACATAGCAAAAGACAAGGAACTCAGAATCACCTACAGATTCCACTTATTTCCTTCGTGCATCCTCCTCAATCCCTCCGATTCAGTACATGAGGAGAATGTATGTACGTGCATGTTTGCAATATTTCTTGACACTGGTTTCTCCTTCTTTATAAGAGGAGACACAGGATATAGAGTACAGCTACTGCATTTTTAATGGATTTTTAAAGTACTTTGTTTTGTCACATATTATGGAATTTCATTTTTATTTGCAAATAGGAAGGAACCAAGAAATGGAGTGGAGGTTTGGAAGAAGAGAAATAAAAAGAACTAAGATGTGTTAGGTACATGTGTCATCACCTGTAGTTAATAGTAATTACATACTGAAAACATACTAATAAACATTAGTAAACATAAATTATGATTATGATTATTTATAAATACATAATCTAGACAATACATGACTAATATAAAAGTTGTGAAGGTCATGCAAACTTGAAACTTGAGAAATGCTAAAATAATCAAGCAAAGCCTGTTCTCTCTACCCAGGCTTTTGTCTCTCTCCTGCTGTTGCTCTGGGATTGAATGACTCCTTGAAGATTTCTCAATTCCAGATATGCCACATTTTGTTGCTGTGCTACTTCTCTCATTTTCTTTTCCACAGAAATACACAGAATCTTAGCAACACCTCAGAGTAAAAACTACAAATCACCAAACCCAAAGGTAGTTGGCCGAAGTCATTAAGATAACGTGATAAGGTCTCCACATGAAAAGTCTTCCAACCAGTACGAAAAAGACTGGAGCCCTTGATTGATTAAAGGATTTGATGATTAAAATTCAATTCAAGAACTGATTGACAAAGTAAGAAACTGCCTTTTTTTGAAATTAAAATTAATGATATGTGTAACTGAAATTGGGAAATTGTGCATTCCTTGGTTAACTTAAATATAAAATTCTAGTTCAAGCTACTAAAGTAGCTCAATAAAAGGTCAGTGACACTTGTTTTGTCCTGCAAAGGCTAAAATTATAGATGCTAATAATGAACCAATGGGAAAAATTGACAGCTTCCACAGTGCAAAGTTTACCCAAATGTTTCACACGCTAGGGTGAGATATTTAAGAAAGTATTTGCAAAAGAGTGAAACTGTCCCACTTCTAATTAGGAGACCCTAACCATCTGCTGGAACCACACACCTGTATCCACTATGCCAGTTTAAAGCACTTGGGGAATTTCTCTGCAGAAGAAGTACTTCTGGATGGCTGAGAGGTATCCGTTTCCACCTTTGAACCACTGATTCACGGAGTACAATGTTGTAGGTACCTTGGCTGTACATGAAACTATATTAGTATATTAGTTTCTGACTTCCAAAAAGCTGCTGTCACTCTGTTCTTATGCTCTTACTTGTCCTCTCTCCATGGCTATTTTTAAAATCTTTGCTTTGTCTTTGGTGTTTTAAAATTCATTCCTATGTTATCTTATTTGAAGTTAACTGTGCTCCCTACATCTGATGATCTGTCTTTCTTTAGTTCTGGATAATTTTTCTTGTTTTAATTCACTTATGTCCTATCTTCCATTCTATATATTTCTAGACACTCCACTACATACAATTCTAGACAGTCTCTCTGAATTTAACATTTCTTAAGCTGTTTAATTTCTTTCATTGCTTCTCTCTGTACATTTGGATAATTTCCTTAAAACTCCTTATAGTTTTTCTTCAAGGACACCTGGCCACTTATTTGAAAAGTTTAGTCTTATTCATTCTTTTAAAAGTTCTATCTCTATTTTCTATCCAAAAGACTTTTCTAATAATCTGTTGCTGATGTTTTAAAGTTTTTATTATTTTCAAAACTATCAAACTAGCTTCATGTCAAATTTTATTATTCTTCTTGAGCAGGAGTGGGTACAGGATAGCTGAGATAATAGAATATTTAGGGAGTTCCTTACATTTAATAAACTAGTCTTGCACGTGCCCCACAGAGTTGTTTCAATCAAAAATGAGCATAAAACAAGATCACAAAAATGAACAAATTCCAGGATCACTCAAAGCTTTGGAAAAAGCTACATTTTTGTTGAGCAACTTCTTCATATTATAAAACTATAAAAATATCTTACCTTTTACAAACTTAGCTTTACATTTAAGGATACTTACAATATTTATGTCCAAATTTTGAGGTATAAACAATAGTACTAATGAAATACTGGACCAAAGTGAGCATTTAAAAAACACTAATTTTCCAATTATATTAGAATGAAAATAAAACATAAAAAGTCTGTTATTCAGAGTGGAGGGCCTAAGTTTCAAAGACAGTGCAAACCAAGAATTTTTACAAAACCAGCTAACAAGTATGTCTCATCTGACCACTTATAGTACTTCATAAGAAGTGATTTCTAGGTCAAAATTATGCCACAAACATAACTTGTAAACGATCACAGAATATTCTGCACATTTGCTATCAAGGGAGAGATTATTTTACATATAAAATGTAGCATACAACAACTGATTAGGGAGACTGAAAAGACTGATTAATAGAAACAGATGGTAAACTATCAGTAATTATCCTCGGAGTATATTAAACAATTCAATAAAGAAAATTAACAAGTATACAGAATCTTTTTTATGTAAAAACTGACTCACTGAAGTAATATAAAAATCTAAGAAATAAATTTTAGACGCTGAAGATGAACAGAATGACTCGTCAATTTTTTTTTAAGGACATTATTTACCAAGGACTGAATTAAACAGTTTTATCTATTGAGGGCTGGGAGTGGAGCTCAGTAGTAGAAAGCATAAGGCTCTGAGTTTGGTCCCCACCATTGCATTAAATAAATAACTTTTATAGCTATTATGTGTCCAGCTCTAACTGACACAGAAAGATAAATAACAAGTAGACCCAGCTCTCTAGGGTCACATTATAGTGGAAAAACTGAAAAGAGAAGCAAATATAGGCAATATATAGTGCTATGATCACTGCTGGAATAAAGGCATCAAAATACCATGAGAAAACAGGAAAGGAGACATAAATTCCAATGGACAAATAAGCATTCTTATTACTAAAATCAGTTTCACTAAGAGGCCTGTAAACTTTTGCAGTTAAAAAAGTGTGGTGTCCTTGTTTCTATCCTCTTCATTTAAATTGATAGTTTTAGGAGTTTAGGGAAAGAGAACCACCTAGATGAAAGGAACTGAACTTAACTATATTTATTCTGCTGTAAATGGCAGAGAGAGTTAAAATTAGCATTATGGAACTTAGGGGTTTTGTCCAATTATATAGAGGAGGGATTCAACCCATGTGAAGATAAAAACAAGTTTTAGCCTGTATCTTCTCATTAAAAAATTATCACCAAAAATGTATTATATCCATTTTATTTTTTACCCATTTTAAATAAAAATGTTTTCACCAATCAGTTTCAAGTATTTTCGTACATACAAATAAAACTGACTTGGAAAAAAAGCGTCTCTCAAGCATACAGTAATAAAGCTGGTCTATCTTCACAGATAGCAGTTTGCAAAACAGATAAATATCATTGCTAATGACCCTGACCAACTGAAGACATCAGAATAAAGGGCCCGCTACAATGTAATATTTTTGGTAAATCATAATGAATTTGCCTCAAACATATATTCACTTTATCACCATTTAAACCATCCCAAACATAAATTATCTTTCATTGTAAAATTTTCATAGGCTAACATTGCAAAGTTTTTGTAGATTTTTTAAATGCAGTGTAATTTCAATGATTAAAGAGTTATTTTGCATCACACTGATAAACAGCTGAGGATTAAAATCAAAAACCTATACAGCAACTCCCAAGCATGCTAAGGCAAATATCAAAATTATTATGTACATCCTCCAAAATGACAAAAAATTTCAAATATTAAATAAAGGCAACACAGATAACATAAGAAATAAATGGTCTCATGTTTTAAGGAGCCTGAGGCTCTAGAGCTCTAGGATTAAGGTATGCACAGATGCTCCAGGATTAAGGTATGTGCTGATGCTCAGCTGGAAAAGACATTTCATCACTCTAAAAATATTTTACAAGGAATATAACTTTAATTTTAAAATTAAAATAACTAAAATAGACATGTACTTAAGTTAACAAGAACAATATTCAACACCGTTTTGGGGCAGGAATAAAATATTTCGTCAGGATAAGCCAAAGTCCTCTGCAGGTAACAAAGAGGACATGGAAGGTGCTCGAGCTGGCTGAGAAGATGTGTACTGAAGCCCCAGAGAGCGAAGTAACTCCAGTTATTCAAATACTGTGTATTCTAACACTTCAGGAGTCCCACTCCTCTACTACTGCAAAGAGTTAAGGAATCCTTAGGTCTTTGAAAAAAATCTAATGTCTTAATAATCAAGCTAAGATTCTCTATCATACCTACGAAAAATATTTGTAGGGTCCTGCTCTACAAATTCTTTAGCCACTTCAAGCACCAACATTTGTTAGGACAACTTTAGGAAAATTACAATATCCCTCCTTATGAGCCACAGGAACAGTGCACTAACAATTACACATTAATGAGGACCAGTGATCTTGTTTTAAAATGTGAATACAACACGTCTACACAATGGTCAGTAGAAGGCTCAATCTTCTACCCTTTATTTCTTTATTTTTTAGATTGTTTAATTCACAATCAAATTGTATGCATTTACCATGTATGTCATCTTTATAAATATATATGTTTTTACTGTGAAATGGTCAAATCTAGCTAATTAACATAAGCATTATTTTACATCGCTATTCTGGTAAGTAAAAAAACACCTAACATCCAACCTTTGCTCCTTTTAAGAACACAGTATATCACCGTTAGCTACAGTCATGATGTTATATGATAGATCACCTGAACTTAC